CTGGGCGACAGAGTGAGACTCCAACTCAAAAAAAAAAAAAAAAAATTAGCCGGGCATGGTTGCACGCACCTGTAATTCTGGCTACTTGGAAGGCTGAGGCGGAAGGATCGCATGAGCCCAGCGGGTCGAGGCTGTGGTGGCCGGGAGCGTGCCACTGCACTCCGGTCTGGGCAATGGAGTGAGACTCCAACTCAAAAAAAAAAACTAGAAACAACCCAGTGTCCATCAACAGATAGATGGATAAACAAATCATGTAGTATAAACAATAGAATACTACTCAGCAATAAAAAAGAATGAACTATTGATAACCCAGCATTGTGGATGAATGTCAGAGTAATTATGCTAAGTGAAAGAAACCAGACCCCCTCCCTCCCCCTAAAATGTAGGATTCCATTTATGTAAAAGTTTAGGGTGCAAACTATAGTGACAAAAAAAGATCAATGGTTGCTTGGGAATGAGGATAGAGGGAAAGAGAGGGTTGGAACATAAAAGAACATGAGGAAATTTTTGAGGGGTGATGGATAGGCTTATTACTTTGAGGTCATGGTGTCTCAAATATATATGTATATTTGTCAGAATACATATATATATATATATATATGTCAGAAGTCATCAGGTTATAAATTTGATCGGTTTGTGTGTCAGTTATACCTCAACAGAGCTGTAAACAAAATTTTAAGTATGATGGTTACCTGGGAAAGATGGAGGAACAGGTAGGAGAGGAACACATTATTTTTTAAAATTTATTTTGATTTCAATTTTTGAGTTGGAGTTTCACTCTGTTGCCCAGGCTGGAGTGCAGTAGCATGCTCATGGCCACTGCAGCCTCGACCTGCTGGACTTAGGTGATCCTTCTGCCTCAGCCTTTCAAGTAACTGGAATTACAAGCATACGCTACCACACCCAGCTAATTTTTTTATTTATTGTAGAGATAAGGTCTTGCCAAGTTGCTCACACGAACCTGAACTCGTGGGCTCAGGGAATCCTCTCACCTCAGCATCCCCAAATGCTGGGATTATAGGTGTGAGCCACCACGCCCAGTCAGAACACATTTTTAATGTGTTTATGGTGCTCACATTATTATATAAATGAATAAAAAATAAAATAGGAGGCCCAACATGGAAAACAAAATGAAAGAAAATGTCAAATTGCGGTCCTGCAGTTCAGATGTGACTGCAGCCCTGCTCTTGGGAAGTTGTCCTATTGCCATGTCCCAGGTCATTGCCCCTGACCACACCCGCAAGCAGCTGGCTTGGACTTCTTTCCCAGTACTGCTTTCTTCCACCTTGTGTCAAGGTCACATGCCTGCTCATCTTGTCTTCACTGCCCCTTGCCTAGCTGTTCTACCCACTGCGGGTCCTGGCCCAGTCTTTTGTGCTGCTGGGTTAACTGAGGGTATGTGGAAGAAGACTAGTTAGTTGTGTATCCTCATGGCCCAGTGAGCATTCTACATTGCCTTACATTTCTACAATAAATAAAAAATTAGCTGGGCATAGTAGCACGCACCTGTAATTCTGGCCAGTTGGAAGGCTGAGGTGGAAGCATCTCAAGAGCCCAGCGGGTCGAGGCTGTGGTGGCCAGGAGCGTGCCACTGCACTCCAGTCTGGGAAACAAACAAGCTGGGCTCGGTGGCTCAGCCTGTAATCCCACGCCTTTGGGAGGCTGAGGTGAGTGGATTGCCTGAGCCCACGGGTTCAAGAC